GTGTGTGTGTGCGTGTGTGTGTGTGTGTGTGTGTGTGCGTATGTGTGTGTGTGTGGCATCGTGGTGAAACCAGGCGCTCCGCAAAATAATCACATCAAAGATTATATCAACCAAAATCTGCCCACTTGGCAATTTTTATCAATTATTTTGTTTTGGATCATCATCTGTCATCTTCATTTCAAAACACATTCCTGTGTGGGTTTTAGTGAAAAACATTGATCAAAGGAACAAAAAATGCAAATTTGTAGTTTCCAAGGACACCCAAGCTTTGGATAGTGACCAAACTTAGGCGGCCATTTCTCGCTAATTTCCCCACTGACACCACGTGACCCCCACGTCCTCTTACAGCAAATATCTCCACTTTAATTCAAGACAGGTGGGTACTTTATTTTCATCAATTGCAAGGGAGGTCAACAAGCTATACGATGATACCAGTAACTCCAAATGGCCAAAAATGATGAGCGCCTGCTTCCACCGCGCCACATTCGAACTCTTCCCTTAGCACAGCTGACAGATATATATATACATCTCTATATATATGGGTAGGCACTATTTTATACGTGAAAAGGATATTTATACTCCGCCACTTGTATGCAAAATTTCCGTATGGGGTTTTTCAAAGTCAAGCAAAACAAGGCTCTCTGTGGGCGCACGTTCTGGTTTTGCGGCTTCCTGGCGTTGGCTCGCTTGCGTGTCATGGTGGCAGCTCCCGCGGCAGCGGCCAGGGCCGTGTTCCAACCCGAGCTCAGAGCCTGGCCCGAGTCGGTGGTGTTGAGCGGGATTTGGGTCAGGCCACCCACCACCGAGGCTAGCGCTGTCGTGTTGGTCTGAGGGCCCGAAGGTAGGGGTTTGTTGCTTCCTCCCCCTCCTCCTCCTCCTCCCCCACCCCCTGGGTCTTCCCCCGGCCCGGCCGCCCGCGACGGTGAACTCTGACCTCCTCCTCCTCCTCCCACGCGGCTGGGAACTCCTCCGCCTCCTCCTCCTCCGTTCTCCTGAGGTGGACCAGGTCTGTGCTGGTCATTGTGGACCCCTGTTGGGAGAGACAAACAAGAGTTGAAGTTACTGATATATTTGTAATTGTTGTTGTAGTTGTTGTAGTTGCTGTAGTTGTTGTAGTTGTAGATGTAGTTGTAGTTGTAGTAGTTGTTGTAGTTGTAGATGTAGTTGTAGTTGTTGTTGTTGTTGTTGTACTTGTTTTTGTAGTTGTTTTAGTTATCCCTGTTAGTGTAGTTGTTGTGTAGATGTAATTGTTGTTGTTGGTTGTAGTTGTCGTTGTAGTTGTTGTAGTTGGAGTTTAAAAAATAAAACACATCACTCCTTTAAAAAAAAACCAAAAAAAAACCTAAACCATTCTGTTCTCTTCAACAAAAGAACATATGCAATCCCTTCTCCTCCATCCATTTGTTTTAGTTTCAGTGAGAGTTTTATGGCACTTGCAACACAATAGATCCTATAAGTGCTGAAGACAAGAGGTGTTACAAGAACGAAACATAACAAAGAAACGGAGGAGAGATAAATACGGTGGATGTTTCGTCTCAGTTTGGTAAGAGTTAATCAGCGCTAACTATTACATCATCATCAGATCATGTTTTTGTTTTAGTAAGTGTTTTACGACACTTGCAACACAATAAGGTCATAGACCTGTAAGTGCTGAAAATTAGAGGTGTTACAAGAGAGTAAAAAACACAAAAAAGAAGGAGGGGAGATAAAGACGATAGATGTTTAATAGTATAGGAAAGAAGAAGCAAACCACACCAGAGTACCCACCAACCACCAACCATCATCAAATCAGATGAGCGCACAATAGACAGATATGTTTGATTGAAAAGAAGAGGAGAAAACCACAGCAGAGCACCTGCCAGCCACCCACAAAGCAGACAGAAGCAGACGACAGAGGTCATGACACACCAGCTGCAGACGTGGAACTCTGGCGCGTGAAAAGTTGGCGCGAGCGAGGCCCACAGGGAGGCCCCCTGGTGTACAATGTAACAGACTTAGGGCCGGGGGGAAACCAACACCACAACAACACAGGGGGGGGTCAGGGAGGGTGCCAAAATCTGCTTGAAAAAAAATTGTTTTCAGTGCGGGTGTTTTAACGCCTCTATCGACACAAACAATTTGCATCTTTAGGAGACAGGCTTCTGACTCTGACCCTGCCTGTCATGGCCAACCCAGGCTCTGAGGGATACAACATCCCAGCATAAAGACCAAAATACTCTATAAATATACCTGGTTTGACCGAAATCTGCCAGACTCCTGGATTTTTTTCCCGTTTCGCTAGGCTTTTGGTTTAGGGAAATTGATGAAATAGAACAAAAAAGAATTGGAGCATTTAATTTTCTTTCAGTTTACTGCTGTTTTTAGATTGACTGTGTTCAGTTAAAAGGGACTGCACTGTATATTACACTTATTATTATATATATATAGACACACACACATGTATAGCTGTTGTTTCAGAAAGGCGAAGCCCCTGTTTGCCTGTGTGTTTGCCTGTGTGTCTGCCTGTGCGTGTGTCTGTCTGTGTGTGTGTGTTTGCCTGTGTGTTCATCTGTGTGTGTGTTTGCCTGTGTGTGTGTTTGCAGTGCCAGTCTGTGTCAGTGTGTGTCAGGCCAGGCCTGGAGCCCTACCATGAGCTCAGTCAGTAGGTCGGCAGTGCCTTAAGCTGTTCCCCTCCATTACTCAACGCACACCAGCACAAAAAACCAAAGGACAATAGATTGAATTAAGGCAAGACGCCAGAGCCACGCTCACCCGGTAATGGTGTCAACTTGGCTGCATTATTCATGGGAGGCGTCGGGCTTCATTGAGCCCACATCCCTCTCCTCCCCCCCTCCCCCACACCCCCACTCCCGATGAACTCTTACAATAGAACTTTTCAACAGCAAATTATAAGCGTTTATGAGCACAGCCTTCATGCTATCCAGCTCTTTATAATGACAAAAACACATCATGTGTATGTGATCCTGACTTATTTAAATGCATTGTCAGCTCCATCGTTACATTTGGTCATAATATAACCGCAGCAATAAAGCAACATTTGGTCATAGTCGCAGCAATAAAGCACCAATTCGTCATAGTCGCAGCAATAAAGCAACATTTCGTCATAGTCGCAGCAATATAGCACCAATTCGTCATAGTCGCAGCAATAAAGCAACATTTCGTCATAGTCGCAGCAATATAGCACCAATTCGTCATAGTCGCAGCAATAAAGCAACATTTCGTCATA